ATGATTGAAATTTAAGGACTAGTTCAAATAGAAAATTCAAATACTTTATGGGTCTGTCTAGGTTTTTCTGAGAGATAACTATTTTGTGAAAATTTAGACATAATTTTTGAAAATTAAAAATTTGGATTTATCGTTTCTTACGAGACACAAAAATAAAATTTTAAGAAAAAAGTATTTTGTGAAATTATTCTACCGTTTTACCTAAAATTAAATTTGTGCAGGTACCGGTAAACAGTAGTAAATTTCACTTGGACAGACCCCTGTACTTTAACTATTAAAACAAAGTTTCAATTAGCAAACCATAATTTTAATTTAAAATTTTTTTTTTCCCGCTTGATTTTTAAAATGACAAAATAAATGTAACAGATTGTGTTCATAAATGTAGTCATTCATCAAAAAATAAATATTTAATCTACATATTTTTATATTAAAATATTCACTTTAAATTCTATATCAAAATAGATAAGTTAAGCTAAAAATATATATTTTTTTTAAAAATCTGTGCACTCATAGAATTTTTTTTTACACAAAATTTCTTTATAGAAAATCAGATGTCAAAGATACTGTAAACATATTATGAGAAAAAATACCAGTTAATAACCCTACTGCTTCAAATAGACTTTGAAAGAGTTTGAAAGGGAAGAATGACACTATATCAGGAAAAAAATATCTGAATTTATTGGTCTTTTTTTTTCTTTCTATTTTTGGCAAATTAGGTATTTTCTTTTTAATATGCGTTTAAAAAAGCTTCAGAAATATACATTTTCCACCAATAAAATATAATGTAGATTTAAATTCCACATTTTTTCTTTTAAAGGGTAAAATTTTAATTAACAATATTTACATTATTTTTTGAAAAAATTCATGTTTAATAATTACTTTCTACAGCTATGCAAGTCCATATTTAAGACAGTATTAAATGTTTACTTTAATCTGTACTTTCAATCTCAAGCATCAAAAGATTTTTAAAAATGAAATTTTCAATGTGTTGGAATTTAACACACACCAAGAAAGAAAGTAATTTTGTTAACTAAGATTAATTAATGCAACAATTTATTTAAAATAAATTTTGAAACTAAGAAAAGAAAATAATAAAAGTATCAATAATTTAAAGCACTGTTTTTTAACTTTTATAATCAATATATATAAAAACAATTTGTTGATTTAAATCAATGATTTTTTTAAAAAATTCATTTGATTTAAATCAAACTGATTTAAATCAACAAACCCTGCCACTAATGTTTATTTACATAGCCTTGTAATTTTGATCCCAATGCAGAAGAGAAGTGAACTCCTGGATAAAGTATTGGGAAACATTTGCCTCCGTGGAGGACATTTTGATGGAACTAACCTGCATTTGCGTTACATGGAGAAGAAAGCTACTAAAACCTCCCACGGTTAGCCTGATAGCAAGGGGACTCTTAACGCATGATCCGTCTACCACTGAGGATATTTCAAGCCAGCACTGTGGTCAGTGTAAGCCGGATGCGGAATTCGTATTGACCTTCAAAAAATTATAAGTAGAAATTTTTTTTTATCACCATATAAGAAATTGAGCCAGGGTGACTCCGGAAACAGAGCGTTCGCCTGCCAATGAGGTGAAGCAGATTAGAATTCCAGCAATGGCTCATCAATACAAATTCTGTATCTGGCTCTCACTAACCATAGTGCTGATGTAAAATATACTCCGTGGTATCCCCTTGCCCTCAGGCTAAGCGTGGGAGGTTTTCGGGTTTTTCCGAACCATGTATCGCAAATGCGGGTTAGTTCCGTAAAAAGTCCTTCACGATGGCAAAGTTTCTTCCAATACTTGATCCAGGAGGTTTTTTGGGTTCAAAATTTTAAGGCTAAGGAGGGGTGGTCGGCTGTTCAACGACGGTTATAAAATAAAACAACATATAAGAAATTGTGATTAAAAAGAATATTTAAAATAAACCTTCATCCAAGTTGAATTAGTTGGAAAAAGTAGACTGTTCATAGTTACAGAGTCTTTAAGGTGGGGAGATAAATCACCAGCAAGTAGTAAGACGTGGCATCTATAAAAAAATATTTCCATTAAATATAGCTGTTTTTTCATCTTGTTATTTAAAATATAATACATTAACAATAAAACAATCAAAATGATATTTAAGATATATTCATCTTTTCAAACAAATCAGTTTTCTGGCAGTAATAGGAGAATTTTTATCAAATTTTCCCTGGACAGTAAATTGTTTCGCCAAATACCATAAAGTGTTTCCTTGTAGGAGAACTAAAATATCAGTGGTCTGTCTAGGTTTTTATGAGAAGTACTTACTTTGTGAAAATGTAGACATAATTTGTGAAAATAAGAATTATATTAAAAAAAGAACACAAAAATATGGTAAATTTTTACATATTTTTCCCCATAAATTAAAATACAAATTTATGAAAATGAAAAAATTAAAACTTTGAAAATAAAAGATGACAGGAGTTACCATTATTTTTATTACCAAGCGTTATCCATTATTTTATAATTAACTTTAGACAATNAGTTACAAGAGAAACAAAAAATATAATCAGAAAACTATATTTTATTAATATTTAATCTATTAATCTCACCTTTTACATAAAATTCAAATACCATTTTTTGCTGAAAGTATGCATAAAAAATTAAGTAACAATTAATATAAAGAGAAGAAAAAAAAAGATTAAGCACATAGCCCAGCTTAAAAAAAATTATTATTAATCCAGTACTTAGATCATAATTTTAATTACAAATTGTCAGGATTAGAATTAATCATGGAATACAGCTATAAAGAATTATGATAAGCAATAATTATGATCAGAGTAAACATTATTTTATTCCCTGTAACAGAATTTTTTGGCATTCTGCGACAAACCTCTCTAGCGCTAATATCTTTCAGCAAGATACTTTTAATAATAACTAATGCATATGTTATTAATGACATTTAAAGTAACAGGAATGTTGTATTCACAAAGAAAAACCTATTAGGGTATAATAAAATTGTACTGTCCCATAGCGTGGGGGTTTAGGAAATAACACTCTTAAATAACACTATTTAATTTACAACATTTAGAATACAGAAGATGCGTCTTAACGCAACACTAACAGGTGAGGAAAACTAAACTGAAACTTTTAGAGGGAAAGTCCCAATTCAATTGCGTAGGCGTGATAATTCGTAAACATAGCCTCCCACGGCTAAATACATGACAAAAACTTAATGTATTTTTTTAAAAATGAATATGTAATATTTTTTATATTCTAATATCTCGGCAATATTAGCCCATTTTGTAAAAGAAATAACACACTAATTATTTCTTTTTTGCATTTCGTAAATCATTATCACATAAAAAAAATAATTAAAAATCATAAAATCAGTGAAAGAAAAGAAAACCAAAATTAAAAAATCACAAGTATTCTTCCCCTCTGAAAGGGAAAAAAAAATCTTTCAAAAATTTCTGCAGAAGAAAATTTTTTGATTCAACGTTCTTTATTTTTCATTTTTCTCAAATAAGAATCGAAAAATTACGAACATTTCTTTCCCCTCCGATGCGCGAAAAAGGCATCTTTTAAGTATTATTTTAAAGAAAGAGAACCAAAATTTTTTACTTTCTGAAGAAAAATTCTTTCTGCAAGAACTCTGTAACGTTTCTGTGACAATGTCGCTGCGATTCTGCCACAATTCTTTTCTAACTGAAATAGTGCATTTTAAAACTAGAAAAGAATAGTACTATAAGTCTAGCAAATAGAAAAACAGTGCAATGTCCTTAGAAATACCATTTATGTGTAATATTAATTGGATAATTTACCCAAATGCTATAGATATTTCTCTGATAAAAAAAATTATTTGAAGTATTAACCAAATTTTTTGTATCTATAATTGAAAAATGCTTATAAAAGTTTCTTGCATTCCATCACAAGATGGTCCCTGCAGCTGATGGGCAAAGGTATTTGGAACAGGTAATGATACATCTTTGTTTCTCTCATTGTTAAAAATTAAGAAATAAAACATTATTAATTGTAAAAATTTTGTTTAAAAATAGATATATATTGTAGTTAACAAAAGAAAAAGCTAATTTGATGTACATATAAATATTCTATAATTACAATAAATAAAAAGGGGGAAAAGCTCGAGAGTTCGAAACTTGTATAAAAGGATTTAGAAATGAGTACCTACTTTTTTATCTTCATTATCAATCAACTTGGAAAGCATAGAGCGACGTTTATTCTTTCTGCCAGCAAGTATTTGTCCATAACCAGCATACGTCCTTAATTGATTTGGGCGAATATTATATAGCAGTCTATTAAACTTTATCATTTCAAACTCGTCAAAGCTAACATATATAATAATTACACAAAACAGATCAGTTCAGTTATTATAGCTTATGTATTATGAAGGTATTACGAACTGTGTGTTTATTTATTGTATAGTATTGAGTATAGTAAAGTGCGGCGTGCTCTTTGCTTTCGCTTATAGCAATGCGTTTCAATAGGTAAGGCTTAATTTAGCCTATCAAGATTTATTTGAGCTCTGAGGCTCTTTTTCAAATGTAACATGCTACCACGGAATCCAACAGGGAACTTTTTATTGTATAGTACCAATCTTGGCAAACAATAATATACCTATATTCTGGTGGCCAAGGTACCAATATTTTGAAACTAGAGACCCTCCACCAAAACCCAAGTTGTTCAATTCAAAATGGTAGTAGAAGACAATATTCGCTTTAATCTAACTCACGTGATTTCGACATTAAATTAAATTTAACTCATTCACAAAATGGGTAGAAATAAGCAAAGCATTACAGTTTTAATGGTCTAGGGCAGTGTTTCCCAAACTTATGATTTTTTTGTACCCCTTCTAAATTTTTCGTAACGCTGTGTACCACTAATAAGAAAATTAATGAATTTTTTACTACAAAAAAATTGCACAAAAATTAAAAAGCACAACTGACTGTTGACACCACTAATTATTAACTGTTAACTCAGCTAAAAGTAGCCTTTAAAAAATACGTAATCGTAAATTTTCATGACTAACTTTGTTTTGAAATACATTTTTTTTTAATTTTCGTTTGTTGCAAGATATTTGGCATAGGAACGCGTACCCCCTCTAAAATGTTCCCGTACCCCTAGGGGTACGCGTACCACACTTTGGGAAACACTGGTCTAGGGTCTACTATATCCTCTAGCGAGTTTCTAGAAACATTACAGGTTGTTGGCATATTATTTAATTAATTGCCCCTCTTTTAATACCTTTTATAATCTTAGAATTTTTTAAGGCTTTTGTTGTTGTAATAGGATATATTGGCGTGAAATGTTAAACCTTCTTTTTAAAGATTATTAATTATGATACCACATAAGTATTTATTTTCCCTTTCTTCGAGCTCTTCGTAAACCTACTTTAGATTCTTCTTTATTATCATCTGATTAAATAAATTTAAGGTATTTCGTGTACAAAAAATTCGGACGTTCTAAGGTATTTCGTGTACAAATTTCCTTTACAATAAAGTGTTAGGTACAGCTGTCATTAGTTGTTTGAGATCTTACTATTTGACTGCTCTCATATGTAGAAAAAAGTGAAATCAGTTCTTTCCATGGTTGTCAAGGTTTTGATATGCGTCAGTTTTTGACTGTTTTAACCATTTATAAAGCCGTTCTTGCTAATAAGGTATAAATAGTGTAAATATTATCATTCATATTTTAAATAGTACATTGTAGGTGTGTTAAAAGTTTAAGATACACGGAGAAGTGTCACATCATATTTCTCTTCTATGTATTGAATTAGTCCTTCAATCTGTGACCAAGAATTTAGACAGACATAATGACAGCAATTATAGGTAGTAATTGTTACAAAAACACATTGCAAAGTGTCACATCATATTGCTCTTCTATGTATTGAATTAGTCCTTCAATCTGTGACCAAGAATTAAGACAGACATGTTGACAGCAATTATAGGTAGTAATTGTTATAAAAACATCATTATTCTAGGCACTAAATTCTTTTTATAAGTTAACCTTATACTAATATATTTGCATAAAATTGAATACTCTTAATTGTTTAAAATTAAAAACTAATTACCCAGGAAAAGAACAGAATCAGAATTAATTTATTAAAAAAAACATAAATGGAAATAAATAAAAAAAAAGGAAAATCCATGTTTTTTTTTAATATATTACATAAGGCATAAGTCCATTTTAACATCAAAAATTTTTAACGTTCGTAGAATTTAATTAAAAAAATAAATAAATATTCTAGTTAATGAAATAAATGCAAGTTAAATTCTTTTGTTTATAGAAAGTTTGTAGGGTTAAAAATGATTTAAATTATAGCAGAACCCTTTCAATACAGAATAAGATTCAACATTTAGTTGGGAATATATTCCAACTTTAAAACAGTAATTATAAGTAAATTATAAGAGCAGGGGCTGGAAGTGAATAGAAAATATTAATTTTGATTTTAAGAATGTACTTTTCAATTATGATTAAATTGTATCAATTTAATTTACGGATTTAACAACTTAATTACAAGAGCTTATGGAGCTACCTATGATTTTGACTTGTAACTGTACTATTTTAGAATAATTGGAAAAGAAATTAGAGTTTTTATTTGAGAGTTTTAATCCTTTGTTCTATGTCTTATCCCACAGTTTTGAATTACCTCTATTTGTTTAGCTTTTTTGTTGCATTTTTAATGCAAAGTTTTTAAGAGTAAACTTTTTCTAAATCAATCTTAAGGTATATTTTCATGAAAAGTAAAATATTGTTTAGAAAGTCAAGCTGCATTGTTAATCTTCTACAGTATAAATATTAAATTAAATAACGATTTACATACAATTTCTTTTGATTACAGATTGCATAAAACTTTTTTTTTTTTTACATTTACAATGTTTTATAATTTTTTTTAAAAACATGCAGCTGACTTAACTATCTTTAATTACATATTCAAGCTATAAAAAAAAGGAAGTTACATTTGGAATTTGGAAATTTACTTTTCAAACTTAGTTTTTATTATGTTCAATTGGAATAACTTACAAAAATTGAAAAACAACCTTGTTACCTAAGTCATTGAAAAGCCAGCTTACAGCATTACCTGTGTCCTTTTACTTTGGGTTAGTTCTCTGCCTTGGAGATTTTGGAACTTGCTCTTAGGTATTCTAGCAATACAATTCACAAACAGAATTTTTTTTATTGTTTTAATCTTGAGATAAAGATTAGAGTTATTAAATTTTTTTTTATTAACAAACAATTTTGTATTGAATTAAAATATTTTGAAAATAAACTTTAATTTTTTATGCAAGTATTTTCAATGATACTCAGACAGTTTTTTATTTTTATTTTATCCTTTTCAGAAGAATAAAAATTAATGTGAAACTTCGAAAATGAAAATTTGATTGATGCATTTTAAACAGAAGGATCAAGCCAGTATCAGTATGTACGCTCCTTAGGTTTCCAAATATCATAAATTGTATTTTATTATTTTTTTAAATTTTAACTTTTTTTCTTGTTGTTTGTTTTTCCTGATAGAATTATTTAAAATATTGTTGAAAGAATTATTAAATGTAGAATAATGATGTCACATGAAAAATATGAACTGGATCACTCAAAAAGTCAACTGTCAAATGATTGTTTACTTTTCAGAAACCGAAGGGACTTGGAGCAAGCTCCAAAAGCTCCCTGTCCCTGAACTCACCCATTCTCTTATAAATGTCATACTTTGTTGCTTATAATACATAATGGAGGCATAACAATTTATTGTATCAATAAAGTTTAACTGGTAGGTAATTCTCTTAGCCAAATGAATAACATGGTTCTCCAGTTTTATGTGTGTTTAAAAAAATGTTAAACTAAAAATTACAAAATTACTTTTTCTTTACTTTCTAGCATTAAGAATTGTTACTTTAGGATTTTTCTTTTTTTTAATATTGTTTATGTATTTTATTTCTTTTACAGGTCAATTTAATCCCAAAGGCTACTATGTCCTTAAAGGCACTGACAGAGCTACCTATAATTGTTGTCTTGATGTACCAGCTATATAAAATGAGTGTTCATTTATACTATTGATAATGACAACTATTACATTACAACCCACAGCTCAACAGAGGTAACTTAATTTTAATATTATTTACTTATTTTTTGATTATAGAAAGTTTAATATTAGTGACTATGCTTCAATGTTGAAATAGTTTATGAAGTGATAAATGCTTTCATAATTGTCTCTTTGTTTGCCAAATTACTCTTAGATGATAATTTATACATATAAGATAACTAAGAAATCTCTGGAAGTATTAAAAATGTTGCAGATGCTTTAAATTCCAGAAATTAGAAGCAGATTTCAGTTGATAATGATCATTGTCAATATTTACATAGATTTTGATTTATCTGGCATTGATTCTCATTTTTGCTATAAAGTATTTGTTTTTTTATAATTTTCTTGTATCTAAATAAAAACAGATTTATTCTATTGGTCTCAGTTTTTATTTTTATCCTTGATTGAAGCTGGAATGTCTTTTCTTTTTCTTTGTAAAGGCTTGCAGCAAAAATATTGCAAAGTGTGAGTTAGTTTTTTTCTAAATATCTTAAAACAATGTCATACATTCAACTAAAAAAATAGTCTAAGGAGTATTGATGATATCGTGTATAACATATTTTATTACTTTGTTACACTTATTAAAAATAAAACTTTCTTAATTCAAACAAATATTTTACTATGGAGTACAATGTAGCCTATTAAGTTGATCAGCCCACTAGGTATACCAAGACTAAAATTTACACCACTCTTGTCTCACCTCTTAATATACTGACCACTTCTCAAACTAGGCCATCAAATTGGTACATTACAAATGGTCAACCTGCATGATTTTTGCTGTAAAATCTATTTTATTGATTTTGATCTTGATTGTTGTTTTATCCTTGACTCGCTTGTCATTTTAATTTTATTTTTATGATGTTTACAGTCAAAATATTGCAGAAAATATAGAGAGAAACTTTTTAAATTAACTACTTGCATGCAGGATATACCTTAATGTCTTTCTTTTTTACTTATTTTATACCAAATGATCAAGTCAAAGCGGTTTTATACAATAAAATTCTTCAGTATTGTTTTTTACTTATTCAATTGTATTCTGTGAAAGAATTTTATGTTCAATGACTCTGTGGGACAAAGTTAAACATTAAATTTTATACATTTAATTTGTTCTTTGGGAAAAAAGCAGACAAAATGCAAAATGTTTGTAGAAATTTTATTTTTTGTTTTGTTTGGTTTTATTTTAACAGCAATCCATCTTTCAACAGAGAAGTTTATGTTGACTTTATGCCTGCACAGATAAAAACATTATCTTTTCTAGCTTACTTAGTTAGAATATATCAAGTGAGTAGGTTAATGACTAATATATTAAGAATCATTCATTATTTTTTTTGATAAATATTTTTTTATCCTGTATTTTTAAGGAAATCCCTTTTCTGCTCAGAAGTACTCTAATGTGGTATAACAATGTTGAGCACACTACTACTAACAAATTTTAAATAAAGAAAATTTAAGCAAATTTTGAATAAGTTCTCTGTAATTGCTTAAAACAATGTTAATTTTTTGTTTTGTTTTGTATCATATTTAACATTGTCCCTTACCGGTGACTGACGCGGCCAAAACAAAAGGTTCAGTGTCGGTCACTGATGGCTGATGTGGACCTCAACATGTTAAAAGACAATTTAATACTCACAGAAATTATTTGAGAATCGACTCAGAGGTTAAAGGCACCAAGCTATCAATGTGCTAGGGTGGGTATAACTTCAAGAAGTAAAAGCAACTTGTACTTAATCATGCCATTGGTTAGGAATTGTAGAGTTTTAACTTGTGTGACCCTCCTGACCTACAGCAGGCTGTTGTGAGAATGCTTTACTACATGTTAAGGATTTAAGAATGTATGATTTGTTGTCAACAGGGGGATTACTTTCAAGCAAATTAATGAGCTGTCTTTACATTGAGTACTTAATAATGTTAGTTGAAAAATTTATTTTCCTGGTCCAATTTTTCAATAAATTTTGAATTTAACATATCAATTGCCTTTTAGAATTTTTTTTAGTAATTATATTATATAATAAGACATAGAATATGATAAAAAAATTCTGCACAATTGATTAGGAATCAGATTTTTGGTTAACAAAATAAATAGCTGTAATGCTGAACTATTTGCTCTTTAGACATTAAACAGAGATAATGTGCAAAGTATATTGCAAAATATATTATCTAGAATCAGGGTTTCCGCTACGGTAGCTTTTTTCGCAAAATGCGAAAAGACCCCTCAAAAATGCTAAAATTCAACAAAGCATTTTCGCATTTTTGCTAAAGGATTTTACTAAATTCCATTTAAAAAAAAAGCTGTGTGGCACATAGGCTAGCATTAGCCGTATTTACAGAAACTGAATTACTTTGTGAATAAGGATTATTTAAGCACATCTTAATGCAACAATGTAAAAATATGTCATTTAATGAATTACTTTTATTTTTATATACCAATGATGTGTCTGAACAGTACCCATTAATAACTTCTGTTATAGAGTATTGTGCAACAATACCAATGCACACTGTTGACTGTGAAAGGGGCTTTAGCTGCCTTAATTTTATAAAAACTAATATTCGAAACAGGTTGTTAATCAACCATGTAAACAATTTGTTAATGATTAATATTGAGGGCCCTGAAAGTGCATTTAACTTTCAAGAAGCATTTGTAAAATGGGCAAACATGAAAGAAAGGAAGATTGTTAATTATAAACCAAAATGTTTTGATAAATAATAAATGTGTTTTTTTTGTTGTAGGTATTATTTTTGATATTCTTGTACATTACGCTATTCTTTGTCAGATAACTTACAGTACTTGTTTGATATAAAGTAATTTTATAAGCCTAATGGCATTTTAGCATTTTGCTAAAACTTTTTTTCAGATTTTAGCTTTTTTGCTAATGAATTTTTAGACTCAGCTTAAACCCTGTCTAGAATTCTTTAAAAGAGAAAATAAATTGAAGAGTCAAGCTAATGAAAATAAAAATGGAGTATGTTCATATTTAGAGCCAGGTAAAGGAAATGCTTGATATGATGATATATTTGGTTAATCCCTCCACCGGTATTTCCTTGCTTACTTGTTTATTAGAACTATTTTGACTAGCGGGATTTTTTCTGATTATTAAATTATTTTTATTATGTTGTGAATATAAAAAAAATTTCTGAGCATTTTATTTTATGTTTTACTACTGTGATTTAACTGTATCATTAATACAGGAACCTCCAATTATAAAATCACTGAATTGTAAAATTAACTGCTTTTTGCTATTAATTCTGCAAGAACGGAATCATTTTAATATCAAACTATGTAAAAACCATCTTCTAATAAAATTATTACTGTTATGTAAAGACAAAATTTTGTAAGGCTTTTGTTTAAAACAATGAAAAACTTTGCTTTATTTTGTTTGAATGATTAGAATTATCTATTTTCTCAAGTTNTTTTTTTTTTTTACTTTAGATACCATTTGAAAAATATTGTTTGAAATGTTCTCGATGTCTACTATTTCTTCTTATTTTTTTAGAAATTCTTTAATTTTTGTGCCATTTTCAGAATTCTGCATATCTAAAAATTAATAACTCTAAGGAAGGGAAATTTAATAAAGATATAATAGCAGGATTTTTTAAAAAAAGAATAGCAAAATTATATTTTAAAACAGTCTTTCTCAGTCTTAAATAATTTTTAATTTAAGTACTATTATTTTAAAAATAAACTATGTTATTATGTATCTATTATTTGCCAAGATGGAGTAAAATACTTTTCATAACTATGAACAAGCAACTAAAAAAAGGTTTTACTCAATGGCATAATTTCTATTAATGTTTAAATTAAGTCAATAGTCAATTAGGAATTCATCTCATAATGAACTTAATGTTGATAATAGTTTGAAGTTTACAAATCAATGACTAGCAATGAAGAAACTTTTTAAACAAAAATTTAGTTACAGTTTTGAATTGCCTTTGCATGAGAAAATGCAATTACTGTTTCCTCACTTAAATGCTTTAAAAACACACAAAGATCATAAATTATTTTCTAATAAATAAATAATTAATTAAAATATCATAGAAAATATTTTAAATGATATTTTATTGAAAAGTTATTTACTGTTTTAAAGAAAATAGATAACATCGCATAGAAAATATGCATTTTCTGAAAATTTTCGTATATTTTGTGCCTACAACCAGTGAACTTTTAAAAATGGATCAATTATGTTTTAAAAAAATTGATGATGTGTGTCATTTTTAATATCTTTGTGGATTATGCATGAATTTGCTAATTCGCACTTTGTGGCCCATTCTACTCCCAGAATAATCGGGAGTTTACTATGTAGCTAAAAAATATTGACAAATAACTTAATCTGAAATCACTAACTTTTGTATTATGTAAGACTTTTTTTCTTTTTTTAAGAAACCAAATATCCTTTTATTATATATTAAAATATATAATATTATAGTTTTTTTTAAAATAAGACTAAGTAAAAGATCCTAATTGAAATTACGAGATTTAGATCTTAAAGTAGTTAAAATTACAACTTAAACATTTATGCAAATATTCTAAATTCTTTTGATTTAAAAAAGGAAAGCAAAATATATTGATCGAACATCGAATGAAAATTATGAAAATAAAAATACACTTAAGCTTTGAGAAAATATAGTTTTTTGAAACTAATTAGTTTTTTTTTCTGTCGGTACCTAAAAAATGAGCAAAATAAGATCTTCATTTTTAACTCTGCTAAATTTCTCTTAACATTGTACAATTTTGATATTCTGAATCTCTTCTGGCAAGAAAAGAAATTTTAATGTGTTATCCTATTTACAAATAAATTTAGTTAAATTTAATATAATTACTAATATCAATATAACTTTCTTTTCTTATGATGCAACTTACAAAATGTATATCACACATTTAAAAAAAAATTAATTCATAAAAAGCATTTTTTCAGTTATATTAACATTTACATAAATAAAATACTTTAGTTTTAATCATATAAATTATAAATTCTCAAAGAAATAAAACTTATTTCTCGTTGTTTAATATTGTTTATTTTTAGTGTAAATTTTTTCATAGAAGCATTTATTGAGTTTTTCAAAATTCTTATGCGAAATTTAATAATTTTTCTGTTAATTAAGTAATAAATCAGAAAACGGATTTATTTGTAAATATGTTTTAGATCTTCAATTACTTGTTCTATATCACTAACTTATATTGTCTGATTTTAAATAAAATTATTTTTGTAGCAGATTTTCTACGTACTCTTGAGCAAAGGTAATAGGTTTTTCTCTACCAAAAAAGTATTTAGTTTAACATTAACATAAACCAAGTAGTTAAAATCACAAAATTTGCTTTTGAAGAAAAGTTTTAGTTAAAAAGTGGCTTCTTCATTTGCACTACTAACTTTAATTACTCATTATGATCAAAATTGTGATATGTTGATTGTTCCTTTTGTTAAATACCTCATAATAAAATAATTATACCCCTGGGAGCAAATTTTTTGTTGTATTTATACAAGTACTTGATCTTAATTAATTCCAATAATGCATGAATCATATATATATATATATATATATATAATGTTATTTTTAAAAGAACTAAAACATAAGAATGAAATTTTATGTGATCCAAAATATTTCATTAAAAACACTACAATTCATTTATAAAAGGTGGAAAAAAAAGTGTCTTATTTTTTACCATCACCTTTAACTTTGATCACTGCATATAAACAATGTTGCATGGAATAAACAAGTGTTTGGCAAGTCTTAGTAGTCCTATTGCTTTTCATTAGCTCAACTTTTTTTATTAGAGCAACTTCTTATAGTTTTTTCTTTAATATCCAAAAATTTGGGTAAGATCTGGGAAATTGGTAATAACTTGCTACTGTGGCATTGTAATTTTGTGTTAAGCGAGATCTTAAAATATTTTAATGTATGATGTGGGGCTAGTTGGAAAATGAAATCATCTTCATTTGTTCTCATGCAATTCCATACGATCACATTAGCTTCATGGACTTTTTCCGATACTGTTGTATAATTGCTTATCCAAACTCAAATGCCTTGATTTCCATAAGAGGCACAAAACATAGTTTCCTCACTAATATTCTCTTTCAGTCCATCAATCCCCATAATAAACTTGATTTGCATCATCACTTTCTAGTAAGCTTTTGTTTTATTGTCTCAAATAGTTTTGTTTTAGAAAAACATGAGATTGAAGATGCTGAATTGATTTTTTTTAAATTTTACTCTTCAGCTTTTTTTTCCAATTTGTTTTTGGTTACCATTAAAATGATTATTTTGATTTATTCTACTGATACTTTTATATGATTCTTGATGAGAATAATCTGAATTGTTAGCTATATATGTTTGAATTTTACCTGTTGATATGAGTCATTAACTCTGAGTTTTATTGATTCTGAAATATCAGGAAAAACTTTCAATTTCGAAACAATCATAAAGCAGAGAAATTCAAATTAATTGTTTAACAAATCAATAAAT